GCAGGTCGAGGCTGCGGTGACCGGGAGCAGCCACTGCACTCCAGTGTGGGTGACAGAGTGAGACTCCAACTCAAAAAAAAAAAAAAAAAAAATACAAGCCCTGTCTTGTAAATAACAATTACAGTAAATATTTGTGTAACACTGACTTTTTTCTAAACGCCTTTACATATATTGATTCATTAGAAGCTCAATTTTATGATGACAAGCTAAAGGAAAAGTTTACATTTAATTTGAGTTTTCTAGTTCCTGGTCCATAAATATTTGCTACTTGCTTCCTCTTAATCTGTGTAAACAAAGGGGGACTGCTCACCCAGAGCTTTGCAGTCTCAAAACCACTGAGTCAATACCTTTATTACACCAAACTTCTTTCAAGCTTTCTCATTAACTGTGGCTGAATCATGTGGCCTGTTTTCCACTTTTAATAGTCATCAAGGTTTGAATGAGCGAATTTGTGGTTTATAAGTTTTTAATTTCCAGAAACGAAGCTTCCATCATTCTGTTTGTGTTTGAATCTTTATTCCAGCCTTTGTATCGATAGAACCTTGGGCACATGGCACAATGCTCAGCTTCAACAGAGTTGTCTGGAAAATCCCCTGAAGGATACAGACGCTGCTAGTACCCACCTCATCAGATAGCCACAAGGACAAGATGTAACCTGTAGAGCACTCAGAACAGGGATGGAGCTTAGCCACTACCCAATAAATTTAGTTGTGGTGATGGTAGTGCTAATAGTAACTGCTTAATATATTTAGTGGTAGTAGTAATAACTTCTCTTTTTTTTTTTTTTTGAGTTGGAGTCTCACTCTGTCGCCCAGGCTGGAGGGCAGTGGCATGCTCATGGCCACCACAGCCTTGACCTGCTGGGCTCAGGCCATCCTTCTATACCTGGAACTATAGGCACGTACTACTATGCCCAGCTAATTTTTTGATTTATTATAGAGGTGAGTTCTTGCCAAGTTGCCCAGGCTGGCCTCAAACCCATGGGTTCAAGCAATCCTCTCACCTTGGCCTCCCAAAGTGCTCAGATTATAGGTGTGAGCCACCGCACCTGGCCATAACTTCTCAATAAAAATGGGAGTAGTGAAACATCATCTCCACAAAAAAAAAAATCCAAACGTTAGCTGGCTCATGCCTGTAGTGTCAGCTACTTGGGAGACTGAGGGAGAAGGATTGCCTGAACCCAGGAGGTCGAGGCTGCAGTGAGCCATGATCGTGCCACTGCACTCCAGCCTGGGCAACAGAGTGAAACCCCGACTTAAAAAGTGAATGAATTAATTATTTTAAAAGTAGGAGTAGTATTGAATGACTATATAATGAATGATGTAGTTAGTGGCTATGTCATACATTATGTAATCACACTCCTCATATAGGACTCTTTGCTTATTCCTAATTCTCCACTGTCACTGAAAAGATGAAATTAATACATTTATGCACATCATATTTTCCCCTTCTCTGGCTGATTTCCTCAGGAGAGTGTCCCAGAAATGAGATGGTTCTCTCAAACACAACGTTGGGAAAGGGTGAGAGCCACCAGGCCATCCCCACCACCCTGTTCTCCCTCCTCATGGAGTCTCCTCCTCTCTCCTCTCTGGGGTTGGTGATGGAGAGTCAGGGAAGGAAGGGACCAGGTCCTCTAGGGTGGGCCTCCAACACAAGCAGCGGCCTCCCTCCCATCCCTAGCACTGCTAAGAATTAAATGATATGGCTATGCACAGTGGCTCAGGCCTGTAATCCCAGCACTTTAGGAAGTGGAGGTGAGAGGATAGCCTGAGTCCAAGGGTTCGAAACCAGCTTGGGCAACTTGGCGAGACCTCATCTCTACAATAAATCAAAAAATTAGCTGGGCGTGGTAGCACATGCCTGTAGTTCCAGTGACTTGGAAGGCTGAGGCAGAAGGATCACCTGAGCCCAGCAGATGAAGGGAGGGTGTGGTGGTCATGAGTGTGCCACTGCACTCCAGCCTGGGTGACAGATTGAGACTCCAACTCAAAAAAAAAAAAAAGAGGTAAGTAATATGTGACATAACGTGTGCTGTCCCTCCCGGGGCCATTTGTGGCTGACCAGTGGCTGAGGCCTTAGGCCACGTGGAAATGGGCTAATGGTAGCATCTGACACAATAGAGAGCACAGTGGGATGGCAGGAGTCTTTGAGTGTGGGGGTGGAGGAGGGAGAGGAGAAGGTTGAAGAGGGAAAGAGGTGGATGAAAGGGAGGGAGAGGAGAAGGGGAGGGAGAAGAAGATGAATGGGAAGTGGGGGATGAAGGTGGGAGAGAAGGATGAAGGGCTGGGAGAGGAGGATGACGCAAGGGGGAGATGCCTGCCTGACTCTGGTTGAACCCACATGCCATCCTGAGGCAGTGCTGGCAACCCCTGTCTCTCCATAGTACACGTAAAAAATGGTGACATTTGCGTGTCACACTTGGGTGGACAGGAGAGGCTGCTTACACATGAAGGTACCACTGGGGATCAGCGTCTCAGCAGCCCCATACTGGCAGCACAGGCTGTGGTGCCCATCCAGGGGGCTCCTTGGTGCCAGACTTGCCCATCTCCTCAGCCTTCGGACGTCCTTACTAAAGCACTGGCCATGCCTTGCACACTTACTCAGGTGCCTCAACCTGCCGGTTTCCTGGCTGGGCACTCAAGACCCTCAGGGTATGGCCGTGCTGGTTCCTGGCACTGTCTCTTCTCTCCTACCAGGGATCCTGCTCTAGCTGGTTAGCCACACCTGCCCCATGACATCACATCTGTCCTAGCTCACGGCCTCTTCTTAGGGCCGCTTCTGTTGCCCCCCCTGACTTCTGCCTGTCTTCCACACCCACCCAGTTCCCAACACTCAGGGAAGCAGCCCTGTCCGCTCAGTCCTTCCCTGGCATTGGCAGTGTCTGCTCCCCAATCCGTTCACTTGACCCTTGGCCCATGGTGCCTCTTCCACATGGCGTGGCTTGTGTCTCCAGACAGAGTGAGGGCAGGTGCATGCAGCACAGGAGGGCCTAAGCTTCGGAGTCTGGAACTGCCTCCAGCTGCCCTGGGGTCTGTTTCTCCTGCCGTGGCCATGAGGTCTAACTCCAAAGCAACTGGGCAACCCACACTGGGGATGCTGTGCCCACAGCAGGCCTGGCCCAAGTCCAGCTGTCCCTCTCCCCACACCCTGGCCACACGCAGGTCCTGACGAACACGGTCAGCCAGCGGTGTGAGCTCCAAAGCCTCTCGGGCTTCCCCATGCCCGAGGTGAGGTGCAGCTGGCAACTGCCCATCCCTGTCATGGAGATCAGCCCCTCAGGGCTGCCCGCTCCTCCCGCCTGCAGGCCGCTTCCTGGAGCTGCACATGTACATGACTTCTGCCCTGGGCAAGAACGACATGAAGGCCATCGGCCTGCAGATGGCCCTGGACCTCCTGGCCCGGAAGGAGAAGAAGGACTGCATCACGGGGCTGCAGACACGCACCCAGCCTGGGCGTCCTGACTGGAGCCAGGTAGGGGCAGCAGGGACTCCACAGGGAGACTGAGAGCCCAGGAGGGGAAGGGGAGGCCAGAGCCAGGCAGCCGGGGCCAAGGACTAGGGTGGCGTCCAGAGTCCAGATGAGAGGACAGGGAGAGCAGGACAGGCAGGTATGGGACCTTCATCCTGGCTCTGTCACTAGGTCACTTTGTTTCATCATCAGCCTCAGTTTCCCCATTTGTCCAGAGAGGAAGTTTGTCTCTATGACCTCAAAGGCCCTTCCAGCAGCCTTGAATCCCTATGGACTGGTGTCAGAGGTCTGAGTGGACAGGGACCTGGGAAGTTTCAAGCTGTACTTATCCTCTCCTGTTACGAATGGGGAAACTGAGGCCCAGAGACATGAAATAGTCTGCAATATATTTTATTTCCCATCTGGTTTCATTATCGTTTTTCTTCCCTGAACACTTATCAGTCACAGTAAACAGTTTGCAGAAAGCGACCCGGAAGGTACTTACTGCTTTTCTTTTTTCGTTGTTTTTTTGTTTGTTTGTTTGTTTGTTTGAATTGGAGTCTCACTGTCGCCCAGACGAGAGTGCAGTGGCCGCTTCCGGCCACCGCAGCCTCGACCTGCTGGGCTCCCGCGATCCTTCCACCTCAGCCTTCCAAGTAGCTGGAACTACAGGCGCACACTACCATGCCTGGCTATTTTTTTAAAATTTATTGTAGAGATGAGGTCTCGCCTGCCCAGGCGGGTCTCGAACCCACGGGCTCGGGCAATCCACTCACCTCAGCCTCCCAAAGGTGCGGGATTACAGGCTGAGCCACCGAGCCCGGCACTTACTGCTTTTCAAGTGCTACAGCCAGGGCTGACACTTGCCCGGTCCTAACAGCTGAGGAGCCGGGAGGTGCCAGGGGTGCTTGGGGGTCAAAGGGAACGTTCAACGAAAGGCCATTCCTAAGCAGAATTCGGGGTAGGAAAGCGTCCTTCCTGGGAGGAAAGACCAGCTTCGGGAAGGAAGACGAGGTCAGACCCAGGGACCAGCACACCGGGCGCACCTCTCTGCCCGACAGTCCAGCTGTAGGAGTGTCGCCGATGGCCATTGTGGGGGTGTCGCTGGTGGGTAAAACTTCCTCCACCTTCTG